GGAATAGATCCTTGCTTTTTAAACTACTGCATGAGAGTGATACACATTTGAAGAATCATCTTGTTCCTGACCTATAGTGCCTGGTGCCTCAGAGGCTGCTAATAGGAGGATTTGAAGCATTGATCTGTAGGTAGGTCTTCTGCCTCCTGCTTCCATCCTAGAGCATTTTATTTTGCCTGTGTATTTCTTCCACCTCTCATCTTTCTGTCTTCTTCGCTGAAGCCCATTCTTGCTCTTGGGTTGCCTCGAAACAGCTTAGGAATGCCTGGCCCTGCCAAGGAAGGAGAATGTGGACACAAATGTTGGAAGGTCATTGCCTCTCGGCAGCTTTTTTCTGCAGGAAGACAGTCTTTCACTGCTTCCTCCTCACTTCATCAACACTCAAATATGCTGTAGTTTCTCCAGAGCAAACACCAGGTTATTTGGGCATAGGCAATACCCTCAAACTTAGCTCTTTCCCTGTCTGAGTTTTATGACCCAAACTATCATTTTAAGGTTCGTGGTGTTCTAGGGTTAATGCAGGTCTGACCAGCAATTATAGCCAGCCTTTTCAGTAGCTGACTATTTTAGGTAAACATCAGGTAGGAGGGTAGGGGGAGAGGAGGGAATTCTCACTTAGTATCCATTCTTGTTTAAAGGTATATTTAGGTAAGACATTTTATACAATGATCCAGTGATTGACTACCTAAAGCAGGGGTAAGTCACTATACAACTTCTGCCATCAAAGCAGGGAAGAATATATGGAATGAAATGAGGCTTCAGTAACATTTAAAAAACCAATGCATTTGTAAGAAAAAAATCTTTAAATATATCAACTATGCAAATTTTATAATAAATTTGCAGTATTAAGGAAAACTTCAGGTTTTAAATGTCATGAAGTATTTACAGGAGTTGAGATTCCTTCTTTGTGGCTAGGGATTGCTTTTCATCTCACAAGACAGAGGAAATAATCAAGTATAGTTTTTCATTTTGATTTTTTCAAGTTTCTGGTTATCCTGTCATGCATAATGCATTACATCTAAAACTAAATTGGCATAATTAAAGATTTTCAATTACTGAGTATTGTTTCTGAATGTGTCAGGATTTTCTAGGGCTGCTTTTAAAACAATTTTACTGGTTTGGAAAAAAATACACAGTTCTTGAATAGAATAATATTCTGTGGAAACAGTTTGAAATTTCATGATAGTTACAAGGCTTTACAGGAGATAAACACAGTATAGTGTATGTGCATGCTTTCAGATTGCAAGCATAAAGAAATGGGAAAGAATTTAGAACGTGAATCTAAAGTGAAGAATGTATGGGAGAAGTTCAGATTCCTGAGTCTGTCAATAAGTCCATGCAGAAGTCATAAAATGAAAAATTAGAAAGTCTTTCTCATGACTTACATGAAGTTAGGAATGTCTGGCAATTAAACCATATCTGCTGGAGACAGATGAGATGAAGAAAACTGTGACCAATCTTGCTCCTATTGAATCTGAGAAATACATTTTGGCTATGAGATGCATCTGGCTTCCTTTCATGCCAACAGAAATTAGCCATTGATATCCAGGGGAATGAAATGGGGCCTGTAGACACAGTTTGTTTTGACTATTTTCTATTCAGTAATTTTTAATGAAGCAACTAAATTAGGCATAACTTGCTGCAGCTCTAATGAAAATATTGCAAACGATTAAAATGATAAAACTATGTGGCCTTAAATATTGTCTTAGAAGATTTGTCATCCAAAGAGCCTTGGGAAAGGTGCTAATGCAAGCGAATATTCTGAAAGGCAATTCGCATTGTTTAGTTTGCAGTGAAAATATATTAGCAATGATTTTTTTTTTCTATCAAATATTTGTTTACATTTTTAAGAAGAACAACTTATTTATTGTATTTTAACTCTTTTTGCCTGGCTTTTTCTAAACTTTTCCTCTGAAGCACTCATCTTAAACAAGAAATCCCATTAAAGGCTCTTTGAAACATAGGATAGCTACCATCTTACAAGAATGGTGGGCTGAATTGTACCACTCAGTTTATTTAACTACTAAGGATATATGTTTGGTTTTTAAATATACTATAAACTCCTGTAAGACCTCAGATCATGTGGCTTTCCTGTGTGTTGTTTACCTGCTTCAATGTATAACAGTTTCAAAGCAGCCATACATTTTGGAATAAAGTATTTATAATTTGCCTGGTTCTCACTGAAGTCCACATATGCTTATTATATGAATCACTTTATTGCCACCATTACTAGTGCTTAACAGATAATATCTCATCCTAAGTATTAGAATAAAATGAAAATTTAACAACTTGCTCCAGCTAGTGAAGAAGTTAACTCAGATATCATTATACATACACCATATTGGACCAAGACAGATGAATAACATAAAAGCCTACAAGGACTTCTGAAAATAGATAACGAAAAAATGCAACTCCTTATAGTAGAGAGATAAGTAAAAGAAACTCAGGGTACAAATTATTTGGGTTTTGTAGACTAAAAAAAAAAAATCCTTGTAAACAAAATCAAAATCAAATTAAGAGAGAATATTGGCATTTCAGTTTCTTCTCCATTGTCAAAAGCACCATATAAATTCCAAACGAAGGTGCACCGGTACTTAGTGCAATAGTGTCAGGTATTCTGAATGCACTGCTTAGCAAGTAGACAGCTTGTTATTTACCTATCAAAGTTTTGACTGGTGTTAAGATGCAGCGCTACAACAACTAAATCTAAAAATTGGCATAGACAGGAACAACAAGACTCAGAAGATGAAAAAAGAGTCATTGCCCCCTCTTCAAATTCACCTAGCTTTTGTTCCTGCTGTTAGGTGGACATCCAGGAGGAAAAAAAAAAAAAAAAGTGTCTTGGTTGCAATACACCAAGTAAGTCTGCTTTTTCTCGCAGTTGCTTTTCTAAAGCCAAAAGCACTAGCCAGGAGGTAATTAATCCTTCACCCAAGTTCCAAATTAGATATTAAGCAGGGTGTGATATTATTAGATATTCAATATTAGAACGATGAGATGAATACCCCATGCTTTTGAACTTGCTTTGCAAAGTGATGTGTACGATTTGTTTTATTGCAATTACCTCAGAAACTTTTGAGCATGATGAACAGGTTGAAGAGATGGCTGATGGGAATATCCACAAAAGGGAGTCCTAGAGACAAACCTGTCTGCTGCCAACCACATCTTCTGAAATTTCAGTTATAAAGAAAATATACCACTGTAAATTCCTGGTCTTGTGAAGTGGAAAGATGGATGGCATGTAATTGATATTGGGAGATATGCTGATATAATTGGAGTGAAAAATAAGCAATTGTTAAGAGCTTCTGAAGGGGATCCTAAGAAAATGCCCTAAATGCGCATTAACAGCTTTGCATGCAGTATACAAATTGCATAAATACTATGGGCAAAAATATAAAACCCAACCAATATCTTAGAAGTTCAGCATGATTATTTTATTTTTAACTGACTCTGACTTCACCAAGGTGAACGCAGTTAAAATTCACCACAAGCAGGGAAATCTAAACATTTTCAATGCTGGCGGAGCTGATTCTTCATATCTCTCTCAGTTTCAGTTCAAACAGGTGTTTTGAAAGAGTCTAACCACAAGAACTGCTTCCTGTAAACCCGTCACCTTGTTCCCCAGGAGTAAGGCTTTGCCAGTTTGCACCAAGAGTGGAAACTTCACTTTGTCTCTTTCCTGTATTGATTCTTAACTTTTTCAGAGCAAAAGAGATCATACCTGTGATCTCTTGCATAACAGACCTAACAGAACTTCATCTGATAATTCATGTAGGAAAGAATAAATCTACTTCAACAGGTCCATATTTAACTTAAAAGTATCTCTCTTCAAAATCTATCCCATTTTGATTTATGAGGTCAGTATGAGTAATTTTGTATGGATATACTTCAGTTAAATAGGGTTTTCCATTTTCATTTTAGGCTTGGAGTTAGGAACTGTGATCCTTGGTAGCAGGGACTTGTTTCTAAGATGATCCACGGAGCTGCCTTGTGGTTGTGTTCCACACAGAAAAGAAAAATAGTAATAATAACATCAAGAAGATCCCGCAGGCTTTTTTTTTTTTTTTCCCCACGGACAAAACACGAGTTAATTCAGAGGGGCAGTTACAAGTCAGGAAAAATCCTGCTGCCCGCGGAACAAACCCGTTTCTGCAGAACCGTCTGCTAGTCTTACACAGGGAAAACAAACTGCTTTCGACGTCCAGATTCGCTCTTTAATGAGAAAATGACTCACCAGCAAACTTTCCCATTCCCATCGGAAAACGCCATTCCCCGGTGACAATCACAGCGGGGTGAGCGCTTTAATCTTCTTCCCCAGAGAAACCCCCCCCCCCC